ATTTAGACACTCATAGCATTTCGAAGCAATCTAAGAAACTTTACTTATGCTGCTTCAGTTCTCCCGGCAAGTGTTAATTAAGAATAAGGTTGAAAAAGTAAGCAGCACAGATCGTTTAAATAATTAAAATTCACACGACTCGCCTAACCACGGCTATACTAGATAAATCATTTTCGAAATTGTGTTGGAACGACCGTTCAGCAATGCTCCTTTTCGCAATTAAATGCTTAATCCCCATCCTAATCCGTTATTTTATATGTTCCAGTGAAGGAACGCGCATTGCGACAGGGCATTAGTCAGAAACCTCTTTATTACGACGTTAATTGCACAACTTCCGCCTCAAAATAACTTGCGAAGATAGTCCAAAAGTAATAATGATAATAACAATTAGCCAGCTGGGTTTAAAGTTTGCTTCTTCAAGTTTTTGAACTGTTCTTCTGATGAAATTGCACTAGGTCTAAAAAGAACAAAGGGTTTGGGAATAAAAATCGTGCGAAATCATCATCTCTCTTCGCTTGACGCGTGCAAACTTTGTGTTTATAGCGAAGGCTGACAAATCAATCAGTAATGAGGATCACACCATCCCTGGAATTGGCGTTACGTGGTGAAAAATTAACGAGCGGATGCGCTTTTTATTACCCAAGTCCTGAAGAACTTAGTTGTAGTGTGTGTTCCGATTCATTACTTTCCTCCTGACTTCGCTCTCAGTGTTATTTCTTTCCGTTAAAAACAAGAGTTTAAAAAGCTTAAGGCAGACAGGTGATAGAAAAGGCATGATAAAAGTCTAAAAAAAATTGCTAAGACTCGCTATGTAAACTAATTTCAGCCGGCAATTTTTTCAATGAAATGATGCGCAGGCGACTTTTCCGGCCTGTTGAATATTGAATAATAAAGAAAGCATTTTCCAGAAAGCACTTTTCTACTTGAATGAAAGAGTGATAACGTGGTATTTATCCGACGCAAAGAAAGTGAGGTAGTCCTTTCCCATAAAACAGTGACGTCCAAGTTAATTTGTAATAAAAAAACTTTTATCCTCACCTTTGATGTTGTACAAACAGAATTTAAAATACTTACCGATCTTATTAAGATTTGATTAGTTTTGGTTAAATAAACATTAAATAACGGGAAAAATACTCCACATCAACAACTAAGGAATCCGTTGTACATCCGAATGCTTCTTCATGGATAAACTCCCCATGTCACCGCAAATGAAGGAAATTTTACTCTCTCTGAAGAAAACTCGCTTTAAGCAAGGAACATCTCAAGACAGCGAGAGAAACCGTGTAAAAAGTTTTAAAGCCGAAGAACAGAAATACCCGGGCATTTCTCTCTCCCAGGAAAGTTTTCAAAATGGCAAAATATTTTCGGGCAAGTTGAGAGAAAAAGAAGAATACATTCGAGGGGAAACTTTCACTTCATCACATGGAGCTGTCCTTGGGCGAAGGGGGTCGTGGATTGTTCCGAAACATATTCTGTCACGGAGTAAAACAGTCGCTGTCTTGCCATTGCAGAAATCTGGCGCAACATGCTGTTCATCTACAAGCTTTAAAGAAATTGAAGAAGTCCTAAGCTCAAAACCTGAGGCTAACTTGACATTAATAACACAATCGGCGGACAAAGTAAAAGCAGATTTTGAAAAGCGATTGAAACTCATGAGTGCGTCAATCACGAAGAAATCGTTGTCTACAGATATGTTTTCGAGACATTCGCTTAGTCAAACAAAAACATGGCGGGTTGAAAGCAAGCCCTTTAGTGCAGTTCCCAAGAGAGGAGCAACTCGGCCAAAGATTGAGAATATGTGGGAGCATCTGTCAGACGAGAGAAAAGTACTTATCAATAAGTGGCTTTCCCCTCAGAACCGTTAAGTTTACGAATTTGTGCCCTGGTATCTATAGTTACGGTAGTCGGAAATAAAAATAACTCCGAGAAACACTGACGACTCTGGAAACGAGCAGCAACGGAGCGAATGCCTCTTCTGAAAGATATTATATGTTACTATGCTCAACATCGCTCTTTTTAATGCTTTTTTTTCTTCATTCTGCCTCTCAAATGCTCACATCCCAACGATCTCCAGAATGTTTCATCGGTTATCTCTTGCATCTCCAGACCGAGTACGTTCATTTTCTCCCCATTCCCTCGGCAAAGTTTCATTTCCCATTAATTAAAGTAATTTTGCTTCTTCTCACTCTTGCACAAAAACAATCTGTAATTCAATCTGCTCATTGTTTCATTGTGAATGACTACAAACAATAGTTTATACGTATGACAACTTTCAAATGAATAAAATTTAAACACATTAGACGCTTTTTTCTAAATGTCAATTGACCAAGACACAACCACGTGACCTGCAATTAGCTTGCTTGCCGCTCCCCACAAATATTAGGGACTTTAAGCAAACCACGACGGCTACGGCAACGAGAACGTGGAAAACAGTAGATCTAATTGGCAGAACAATAGCCCAGCACGTGCGTTTTAAAACTTTGTACATTTCTTAGCCGTTCTTTGCAAAACAACAACGTGAAATCACCAAAATTATCGCGAAGCGAAACCGCGGCGGCAAATTATTTTAATTTGCATTTGGAACTCAACGCAACGTACTTTTATGCGTTATGTTGAGTTTGAGGTCTGGCGCCCTATGAGACGGTAAACACATGCAGCCATTTTCGAAATTCTAACTAAAAGTAGAAACTCGTTTTTTAATCGACGTCTTCCGTGGCGTTGCCGTCCTGACTGCATAAAGTCCCTATTGTCTGCTTATACGCAGCGTGTTAATTAATTAAATAGACATATTATGGCCTTGAAAATATTTGAGCTCTCTCCGCTCGAGAATACACTAAATGTTCACCTTGCCTGTGACATAAAATCTGAAGCTTAAGTAAATACAAACCTCTCGTGTTCGGTGTTCCTTGATCTTCGATAAGTACTTGTCATTACAACGTTTTGGTACTGAAAATGTTCGCAATTGCTGATTTACAACTCATCTCATCTTACTTCCAATCAGCGATGTTTTTTCAAATTATTACGTCTTTTCAAGCTTTAAATTTAACAGTTGAAAGATCAATAAACCTTCGTTGGAAATAAATTTTCCTAGAATTACCACCACACCGTACAAGAACACAAACGACCATGACGACAACACCACACACTTCGGGGACAGTACAAAATGTGGATCCCCCTTCTGGAACCCCTTCTGGACCCCTTCTGGACCCCTTCTGGACCCCCTTCTAGACTTCCCTAACTAGATTGAGAAAGGATCAAAACAATAAATACCTGGTGCGACTTAGGAGGTTGTTATCAAAGTGGCTTTTCATGCTACAAACATTTGGCTGAATCTTCAAAAAGTGCCATTAGAAGTGTCAATTCTCCCTTTGCTCTCATGGAATCTATTTTGTTTCTAAATTAGAGTGGGGACCTCGGCACAAGGCTACAAAACTTCCGGTTTCCGATAGACCGTCTGCCATTTTGATTGCATCATCTCATGTCCTCTGCTACCACCGCTGACCAAAAAAATTATGGTCATCGTACACAGAGCTCTGTGATGGAATGTTGAAGGTGAGGTGTGTGATTCATGACTGTTTGGCAAGAAAATGTCGTGATTGTTTATCAATGGCTTCAGGAATGTCGAGATTGCCTACAAAATGCGAAAAAATCACCCAACTACCTTTAACATTCCACCATAGGGCTCCGTGTTTAGATGACCACAATTTTTTTGGTCAGTGGTGGTAGCCAAGGACATGAGATGATGCAATCAAAATGGCGGAAAAAATCTGATCGGAGCGGCCGATCAAAGGAAACACCGAAGTTTTGTAGCCTTATGTCGAGGTCCCCACTCTAACTTATAAACAAATTGGCACTCACAATAGCAAACGGGAGAATTAACATTTCTAGTGGCACTTTTTGAAAGCTGAGCAAATGTTTGTAACATGAAATGTCACTTTGATGACCACCTCCTAAGTCACACTAGGTATTTTTTGTTTTCATCCTTTCTTAATCTAGTTAGAGGGTCCAGAAAGGGGTCCAAAAGGAGGTCCAAAAGGGGGTCCAGAGGGGGGGTCCACGTTTTGTACCGTTCCCACACTTCCCATATTTCGTAGCCGCTGACATTCAGGCATTGGTCAAAAGTTTGGCGCCAAAAAGGAAAACAAGTGAAAAATGCCGCTATAGGGCAAAAATTTTCGGGAACACAATCCACATCTCATTTTCCTTGTTCCGGCTCGAAGGCAGCACATTGTGTACGTGTTTATAATTATTTTCAAGACAAAGGCAGTAATAACTTTAAAATTCAATCATTTGTATTCTCTATAGAATATAAAGGAATTGCGTGTCAGGTTTCTGAGCTAAAGGACTAGAGATTTTACTCACATCCTTAGTCCTTTTGATCCTCGTCCTCAAGAGAGCAAAGAGCTTATTTCAGTCGTTAAATGCTTCGGGAAAAGGAACAAAAATCTTTAAACACATCTTTGTTTCAAAAGGTTTGAACATACTAGGCTTCTCCAAATGCTAGTCGTCTCATTGCTAAAATTTTGAAAATAGTTGACCTTGATATAAAAAATTTACTCTTGAGGACCGATTAGGCTTCTTTTTCTCGTTTCTTCGAGGTGTAAAGTTTTGGTTTATTCAAATTGTGATTCTAAGGGGGACTGTACAAGCCACACGGTAAGTTGCCGAATTTTCCTGACTATCTTAGAAAAAAGGACAAAAACAGTCAGTTGCCGTGCCGATGGACTTCTATTTGAAGCCACGGGTGTCTTCTCGCCTTTTAGTTAAGTGTGGTGATTATGTCGGACACGGTCTGTTGTCTTTGATGAGGAGATCAGCCCTTGCCTGAACGATTTTGACAGCAGTGACTTCTTGTGGGAAGACAGCGAGAGAGGATATGACAATTTGTAGGTTTTGTCACTCTTCAGGCTTGAATCTCCTCGCGGACTCCGCCCTCTAGGGCCAACGCATAGAGGGCTGGGTACTAATTGGGGAGAGCTCTTCGTTACTATGTACTTCAATGCACTTCAGAAAGTGTTCCAAAGGATAACTGAGAACTTGAAATTTCTGTCTTTCCGTCGTTCTTTGCAGTAAATGTAGGGTTTGTTGACACAAGTTTGAAATATGCAGGACTGTTGTCTCGGAGGAGGTGGAAGAAGGCGAAATAACGTTCGAGATCTCTAAGATCATCGCAAACTTAGATTGTACTTGTACAGGTATGTTCCTGACAACAGATTACTACGCTACATGTATGGGTTATAATTATTGCAGTATTAATTGAAACGTCGCTCAGCTTAGGTCCTATATGCTTGCAAGATAAGAGCAAGTTTGGAAAAATTAAGGGAAAATGACTTTGGTTAGCACAAACAATAATATGGGGAAATTTACTGGAGGGAAACCCGAATGTGATAAGCGTTGAACTGTCACGTAATATACTGGCTGTTCGAAGGGCAGCAGATCTTTGACTTAGATCACCTTATTATTGTAGCATCTGCTGGATAATATGTTATGAGCAATATGTGATTTTAAAATAATTCACTAAGTATTCAATCAGGTCACTGATTACTGATCTATCAAAATCCATACCCTGTTTTTACAGCAATATACGACTTTTTCCGTGTTTACGCCGCCTGATCGAAGCAGTGGAAACACTGGGGGAGGGAGGTATGGGAGAATTTTGACACAATTTAAAGCAAACTCGACAAGCAGTGCAGTGTACTAGAGCGTGCATTTTATCTCAGTTAGTAACGAAGCAGTAGTGGACTTTCTTCCGTGTTTTTATAGCTAGTCAGTTTAACACAAGGGGACTGGGATAACTTTCAATTCCGAGTGTTAGGATGAGGCTACATGTGAACAGGGTGAAGTCCTCTATTGCTGTAATAAAATATTCCTTAGCCTAGCGGAATTTAAAAACATTAAGTATGGGATTTAAGCCTTAATTTGTGAATATCATCTTCTTTTTAGATACTATATATTTATGAAATTGGTCAATTACCAAATCACCTACATCATTTGTTGGTCAAGTTCACTTTATATGTTAATGAGCTGGTGGTGATGCAAGCTGTTCACAAGAGCCCTGCTATTAAACCCATTAAAAGAAGAGTCAGCACTGCACATGCACGTCGGCGAGCAAGAGTTTACTCAACTGCAATTAAAAAAGAAAGGCTAAAAGGGCAAAGTGCAGATGAATTAAGGAGTTCTCATGAGTCGGGTCTGGCCAGTGGATCTACAGCTTTTTTGAAAGGATTGTTGTCTGAAGCTGACAGTCTTCCAAAGCGTATATCTGAACGATATGAAACACAGAGAGAAGTAAGTGGGAAATGATTAACTCTTTAGAAACAAACAGAGAACCCATCCTTCTTTCTTCAATATCTTTACCAGGAACATCCTGAAAACTCTGACTAATTGAGAAGTGAGAGCCTTGAAATTTTCATTAGACAGACTTGACATCATTCAGTGTATGCAATCCTGTACAAGTCAGTGGAACCTGCTCAAAATTTGTTGCAGACTCTCTAGGCTGTGCCTTGTGAGTCCACAACATTCTTAACTGCTGTGATGATGAATATCCTTGTCGATAAGAGTATACATACCATGCTAAACAACTGTTGATTTGTCAAATCTCTTGATGTTCACAATAGTATTGAACATAATGGGGATGAAAGCATGTAAGATGTCCTTAATTATGAGATAGTATGTCACTTATCACTGCCATTACCATCTTTACAAATTGTGTATGTCATGGTCATTGCAGAACAGTGATTGGATTTACAAGACATTCAAAAGAAAGGAATGTATCCATCATGTTGAGGACAAAGCAAAGCCTGGATTGTGAGTATATGTCTTAATTTGTAGCTTGCTAATACACTATCTATTACAGGGACTGTTTATTTATTCAGTTTTTGGTACAGTTTTTTAAATGTCTTTTTCTTCTCATCAATTCAGTCAAGTTGAATTAATTGCCATTTTTTTTATTTGATGAAATTTTTCTCTTTCGTTTTAGATTTCTCATAATGAGAATTTCTGTGGATTTATTCTCAAGTTGTTGAAAAGTACAATTTTTAGTGCACTGTGCATGTGTACAATAATTGTTACCAGCCTGGAGTGTTAAACATATGTATGGTATTCATTATGACATATTCTAGATGCTGTTGTGGCCGTCTTGAAAATCAGCACGGCAAGTTGACCACTGTTCAAGAAGAAAATGAAGAGCTTGAGATAGCAAATGATGCAGCTGAAGAGAGTGACAGTTCTAACAACAGCCAGCTTGAGGATGAGGTGTTTGATGTGAAAGGAAGTGTCCACTTCACCAAGAGTCAAGGTTTCTTTAAAATAGATTGTTTTATCTGGTTCCGTTTATAAGGCCTGCCCTTCAACAGAGGAGAAAGAGGCAAAGATGAAACACAAATGATAGTTTATGCAGGATTTCCTGTAACCTCTGGGTCTTAGAAAAAAATGAAGTAAGGGGTTTAATAGTATCTGTCTCATAAAAGCAGTAAGTGCCTGATGTGGAAGATTGGTTAGGTAGACCATATAAACTGGTTGGGGCAATGAAATTCTTCAAGTAACTCTTTTATCTGGATATGTACATTGTGGAAACCTTTACCTTGACTTAGTTAGATATCAGTAAAATAATGGTTCTATGGGGAGCAATTAGGTGGTAAGACTCTGAATAAAGCTTCCCATCGATGTGATTCTGTTTTAAAACTGGATTTGGTGACTTGATCAATTCATGTGGAGGTTGTAATCCTTTCTTATTTTATCTGATTTCAAATCATTGGTAAATTTCATGTATATATTTCAAAATAGCTTGGAAGAAAAGTCAATTCTCTCCATTATTATAGGGGCTTGATTGGCAACTAGCCTCCTTGTTCATTTTTTTTTTTTTAATTCTATGGTGCAGTTAGAAATGAAATAGGAGTTGTATCCTTGATGTATGAATATTTTTACTTTTTTGGCCAGTAATGTTAGCCAGGATGAAGAAAAGAGTAAAGTAAGATTTCTAGCTCTTTATTCTTGATTATCTTGTAATCATGGAGCTGGTCATTTGTCTTGGTAACAGGTTTGCCACCACTGATGAAAACAAGTAGATATGAAGGGAAGGTTTATGGCAAAAAGACAGGGCCTGAAAACTGGTCACCAAAGGATGACATAAAAGAGTTTCCAACAGATGGCTTTGGTCAGATTAAATTTGTGAATGCATACAATTCATCTCTGACACCTGCCAAGGTTTGATTTGTAATGTATGTTACTTTTTATAAATAATGAACATATTACCCATCATTTGATTGGTCAATTTTGTTCAAGCAGGTAGTTTATCAGGTAATGGAGCCCGCATGTAACTATTTATGTCATAAAAGCAGTAGAATGCATTTTTTCCAGGCTCTATAATGTGATAAAGCCTTATGGGATGTTGGGAGAACACTCAGAAAGCTCAAAAATTGCTCACCTTCATTTGGCTCATGATTTATATGCTAGCTTTCCTGGCTTGTGATTTATAAGCTTTCCTTGTGTTCCACCAACATTGCGGGTGGCTTTATCATGTTATAGAGCCCCCCAAAAATGTGTTCTATTGCTTTTAAGAAGAGGTTGATTACCATGTTTATTTTACTTGAAAAATAGTTGTTAGAACTGATGATAACTATTGTATAATTAGTTACTGTCAGTACTTATTAATAAATACCATGCAGGTGAATGCTGCTTGGTCATGCTGATTAGTTAGTCTGGAAGGGATTAATAAGGAAGTAACAATTATCACCATCAAGCAGACAAAGAGACAAAATGTGCAATAAGAATTTAATTCAGACCATTTTTTGGTATATTGGCAGAGAAACTAATTTTAATTTGTTTTTTTTGTGATATATACTAAACATAATTATTCACTACAATGTCAGTGAAAGTGGTAGATATATACCTTGCCACTTTACCTCTCAGTAGATATCAGCCACTATTGATCACTTTGACTGTGGTGAATGATTGTTAATTATTATATGTTAGTGAGATTAATAGGCCTCATGGACCTGTTGGCTTTGTCAGAAATAATCCTAACTGACAATAATATTTGTTTAAGTGGCTTTTGTTGGTTTTTGTTTAATTCCTGGCAATATTTATTAAACCACAATTGAAATATACATTCCAAGGGTTTTTGATTTGGATTCTCTTTTCATAAATTTTCTCAGGTTCCCTATGGTATATAAGATAATTTCCTATTTAGTTATTTTGACCTTGAAACAATTTTTAATAATTATTTTAATTTAAAATTATTTCCATGGAATTTGTGACCGGATAGTTGGTAACTATTCCTTTTCTTAATTGCAGTACATTCGTCTAGCAGACAACACAAGGCCAGAGTTGACATTGGAGCTTATGGTGCGACAATGGAAGTTAAAGAAACCAGACATTGTTATATCAGTACATGGAGGGCTAAAAAATTTCAAGCTTGATCCTCATCAGAAAGAGATCTTTAACAGAGGCCTCATTAAGGCAGCTAAGACAACCCATAGTGGTGCTTGGATAATAACTGGTAAAATTAACAGGCTGTTAAATCTGATGTATCACATGTTTTTCATTAACATCTATTGACTAGTGAGAATAATTAATACATTTTCTTTGGTATTCATGTCCTGAGATGGTTATGTTCTTATGAAAAAATTCAGTATTTGTATTGTTTAAGGTGTGCTTCTGATTACAGAAGTAGATATATCAACAAACATAATTTCAATGTGATTGATATTCTCCAAATACATCAAGAATACTTTAATTTTTCAAAAAGTAACAGGGAATTTAAAATTTGAAAAGCTGTTGTTTTAATTTATGAAAAAATTCGGTATTTGTATTGTTTAAGGTGTGCTTCTGATTACAGAAGTAGATATATCAACAAGCATAATTTCAATATGATTGATATTCTCCAAATACATCAGAATACTTTAATTTTTCAAAAAGTAACAGGGAATTTAAAATTTGAAAAGCTGTTGTTTTAATGGCCATTTGCTAATGCTAAAAATTCATGGTCTTCTCCTCTCGCGGATGCATGTCCAATCGCTTTGGAACTACTGGAACTGTACTGGAATGGTTTCAATCATATCTTTCCGATCGTACACAGTTTGTGCAGGTTCATGATGCATACTCTGCTTCTCATGTTCTTGAGTCTGGTGTACCGCAGGGATCCGTTCTCGGCCCGTTGTTATATTCACTGTACATATCCCCTCTTAGTGAGATTGCTCGACAACATCAAATGTCCTATCACTTTTATGCTGATGACACTCAGCTAAATATTACGTTCAGGATGTCGTCTGTTTCTGATATGAATCTGAGTAACACCAAATTGGTAAACTGTGTTCGGGACATGGATGCATGCCTTGGATGCTTTCCAACAAGCTGAAATTAAATAAAGATAGGTCTGAAGTTCTTGTAATATCCTCTTCCCATCGACCTCAGCCGCCACTGTCTTCTGTTGATATATCAAATGAGACTGTATCCTGCTCCCCCAGTGCGTGAAGTATTGGTGTTATCTTTGATCAGTCCCTTTGTATGGTACCTCATGTCAATGCAGTCTGTAAATTGTCCTTCTTCCATTTTCGTAACATTGGCTTCATATGCAAATAACTTACTCATGATGCAGCAAAGATTATTATTCATGCCTTTGTAGTTTCTAAACTTGATTATTGTAATTCTTTATTGTATGGCCTACCATCCTATCTTATTCGAAAGCTTCAATATGTTCAAAATTCTGCCGCTTGCCTTGTCAACCAGTGTCCAAGATTTTGCCATATTACTCCAGTCATGAAAGATCTTCACTGGCTCCCTGTTTCCCTTTGCATTGAATTTAAAATTGATATGTTAATTACCTACAAAGTGCTACATGATTGCGCTCCAATCTATATACAGGAACTCCTTCAATTGAAAAAGTCACCCAACCGCAATCTTAGATCCTTTAATAAAAATCTATTAGTTAAACCCTTTTTAATCTCAATTCATATGGTAAAGGAGCTTATTCTGCTGCTGCTCCAGAAATTATGAATTGTGATGTCTATGAATTGATAAATAGTTCTTATCTATTGAGTACATTTATCTGTTGTGTAGTTAACACCTAGTTTTAATATCAATTTCTTGTGATTATTTTTACTTTCTAGCTTTATCAAATTTTTGTAAACAGCACCTTTGAATCTTGTAGAAAAGGTGCTATATAAATGGATTATTAGTATTATTAAATAATATGACAAGTGAAATTGTTTAAAGAAACTTCCAAATGAACAGCTGCAAACTGCTTGAAGCAGGGGACAGTGTTAGTAAACAAGTTGTATTTGGTCTTGGTTTTGAATCTGATTGGTTGGGAGGGTAAGGCAAGTTTCAACGATCTGTTACAGGGGGAGTTAATTTTGGTACAGTTGTGTACTTGGTTGCCAAGCCTTTGATTTGGAGTGAGGCTGAAGGTGACCTTGTTGTGATAGAGACCAGTATCTAATTAGCATGATAGCAAAGTAATTTACATTTGAAAAGTAGCAATATCTGTATCATAACAAAGTCACCCTTAGCCTCACCCCTGTTTGATGGCTTGGCAACCAAGCATGCAGCTGTAAAATTGACCATTGGAAGTTGCCTTTAATTGCAGCTTTCATCAGTTACTGGTTATCTTCATGTAGGTGGTGTAAATCTTGGTGTGATGAAGGCTGTGGGTCAAGCGGTACAGGAGGGTCAGTCCATGCAATGGGGAGGGTTATCAAGTCGCTGCCGCATCAGGTGCATTGGTATTGCAACATGGGGATATATAGAGAAAAATGAGCACTTGATTAATCCTTTGGAGGGCAAGGTGAGAAAAAGAAAACTTTCAGTTCAAAGTAAGGTTTCTGAATGGTAGAGCTCTGATGGCAAAGTGTAAGATTGACCAGATCTACTATTGCAAAATAGACAATAGAACCGATAGTTCAACCTCATTATGTTACAATGCAAAGTTCAAACAAAATTGATTTGTAGAAAAGTCAGTTTTACTGTTCATTTTTCATGAAACAGTTATTAGCTTGTTTAGACTATTTTAGAGAAACTTTTGTTAGGCCTTACTCTTACTTAGGATTGGTATTGCCTTTTTGCACTATATGTAAACTTGGTAAATTTCTGGACGTTGTTGCCCAAAGAATCCTATCTGTTAACATGTTATGACCTTTTTTGTTTTTCCAGGGATGCTATCCAGCAACTTACAGAGTGGAGCATTCATTTCAGAGAGGGAAGCCTGTGTCCCTCAATCCAGACCACAGCCATTTCCTTTTGGTGGATGATGGTACACAGGGGCAAGTTGGAGCCAAAGAAGTTCAGTTTAGGGCACGACTGGAGAGGGTCATTGCTGACAAACCTAATATTCAGAGACAAAGTGAGTTGACCTTGGGAAGTGATTTTAGGTTTTAAATTAAACTCTTGTATCTCCTTGTAGTAAGTTTTTCATGGCAAAATCATACTTTTCTTTAAATGAAATAAAATTAAATTTTTTAAAGTAAATTTTTATCGTGAAAAACATCAGCCAATCCAGACTTATTTTTTGGACTTTAATTATAGGGGTGCAGTGATTCCTACAACTGAATCAATGTTTAATAAGCTTGACAATCTATTGTCATTGGCCACACTTACATTGATATATTGTAGCAAGATATATTTTTTCAGGATCTTCTTATTTCGACTTTATAGATGTACTTTAGTTGGAGAGTAGTTTTACTTGTCTTTCTTTCTTGAGACAGATTTTATTAACATGCAGTGTTTGAAATGGTCACAAAACTGAGAAAAGCAGCTGTGCTTGCAATGCATGGAAAATCTCTTGAATATTATTAGGGACTTTCACTGATATCTTAAGGGTTTACAAGAAATTGTCAATGGAATTCAATGATAAGGATATTAAGAAAGACTCAGTGCTCTTTTTACAATCAAAAATGATCTTGCCAAACAATTTCCCTGATCTTCTCAAGGATCATGCCTAGACTGATCTTCAAGGATACTGACAGAATGATTTTAGGAATCTTAAGTACTTTAGATATCTAAAGATGTGATCGATCTATATCCTGAAGATCTTAATTTTTAAGAAGGATATGAAAAAGTCTTAAAATGTCTTTAAATTGACTAATGTCTTCCTGAATACTCTTTTCATATGGATTATTCATTGTAGAGTTTGGGTTTGGGGTTCCTGTGGTGACAGTGATTGTTGAAGGAGGGGAGGATGCACTAAAGGCTGTCAGAGCATCTGTAAAGCATGGCATTCCAACAGTTGTGGTGGAAGGAACCAAGAGGGCTGCTGATATCTTAGCTTTTGCACATCACAACTGTGACTCTGGGTAGGTTTTTTAGTTTTTTCTTTTTAATTTACTGATTAGAAGAGTGTTTTACCCTTCAGTTGGAATTTCTAACACAGTGGGCATTCCTAACTGAGTTAAAAAGAAGAAACTTGACCAGTACAGAAAATGTTCAGTGGTCTTGTTGGTTCAGTTGAACTAAATCGCTACAAAACTGTCCTCCTGTCAAGCAAGTTGAAAGAAGATAATTTCAATTTTATGAAAGCCTTTGAAAGTCTATTGATAAGGGGATACGGTATGTGGGGAAAGGATTAGAATGGTGGCTGTTTTAGTCAGCCAAGATGTTGGAAGAGGTGTGGTTAACTTGTGTTGAATGATTTCTTTACAAGGCCGGTTATGTGCATTTTGCTTCTAATTCAACAAAGAGGAAAAGAGATCTAAACTTGGCCAATAGAGGTTTTGCACAGCAGCCATGTTGGATGGCAGGAACTATAGATTATTTTACCCATGGGAAAAATTTTTCTTTCTTATGCAAAATATTTTCATTGTTCCTGTCATCCAATATGGCTGCTGTGCAAAACCTTTATATCTCGCCTGATCAGGAATAGATTATTAATGCTGAGAACAACCAGTAGGAAAAATGGCCTGACAATAAAAAAGAATTTCGTTTTAGTATAAATTTTTTGAATCTGATTGCAGAACAGTGCGCCAAGTTAAGAAAGATCAAGAAGACCGTCTCAAAGCAAAAATCCAGGAATCTTTTCCAAAGTTTGCAAAAGATGAAAGTCATGTCCAGAAAATTGTAGACATTGTTAACAGTTGTGTCCATGATGAGCGTCTGGTAAGTTGTTGTTTCTATTTAAAGTCCATTATCAATTTGTACCAGAACAAGCGTTTGATTAGTTTTTTTTTTTCATTTTTGCAAGAGTGGGTTGACAGTGTTAAAATTTTTTGAAAACCCGTTGTTTCCAAAACCGGTTTGGCAGATTTTTCAAATTTCCCAAGCTGGTAATACATTATTTCAAACTTTTGTAGCAATCCGCTAATCAATAGCGTCAGGGAGTGATGTCCAGCACTCTGCGTCTTCGCTGCGTTTTATTGCGTTTGCTTAACGTTTCGATGGGCTGGTATAAACAAGCCCATAATAACACCAACATCTACTAACTTACGAGAAGAATGTGAAAGAGTCTTTTTCAATTACCTTAGCCCCTGTGACAATTATAACGAATTCTTTCATCTTAGATTACTGTATACAAGATCGACGAGAACAATAACCTAGATCTTGACCTAGCCATTCTCAGTGCCTTGCTCAAAGGTGAGACTGAATTCAGCCATTAATTGTACAGTGACCCTTAATTGGGTGAACGAAGTAACTTTCTTAGTTGCGATTTTTTTTCTGCTACTCCAGGTGCTGGCGATAGCGATCCAAGGAAATCCGATTTGCTTGGGAAGTGTGCCAATCGAATGGATCAGTTAAAACTGGCGTTAACATGGAACAGAGTTGACGTGGCTGAAGAAAAGATTTTCACTCCTGAAGCTGACTGGCCTGTAAGTAAATAACATAGGACTACAAGTAGCCTCCCTTTCCGCCTTAGCCTCCCTCGTAGCCGTTTTTTTTTTGGATGTCACGCAAGGGAGACTATTTCCGCCTTGGTTCATCTAAAGGGCGAAATAACTAAAACAGATCGGCTGAAGAAATGAGGAGACTGGATTTGGGACTATCTGTGTTCTACTGAAAACCTGTGAATGGTCTTTTTGCCTACTACTTGGTAATGGAGTCGCAATGAGTGAGACTACTTCAAAAAGGTTTGCAACTCGTGGTCCGGCTGAGAATTCGATGGAATGTCTAAGAGTTCGTCAGTTTGGTTAAGAAATCTCTGTGATTGGGTTCTTAAAACTCGTGTCACCCTCTCAGACATTCAGATATAAAGATATTAAGAAACCGTGTGAGTCTGGTTTAGAAACTCTCCCATTGGAGTTGCTTTAGAGGGTGATACCTAACTGGAACAGGTAGCATTGATTGGTTTAGTTTTATAGTCAACCGTTTTCCTGTTATCAGCTTCAAATAAACTATCTTAGCAAAATCCGCTGTCACGTCAAATATCTTCCTGCATTGTAATGGAATTATAACTGACATTGTCAAATCAGAGTTAGTAGAGGGGAACTGGCAGTTCCCCTCTACTAACTCTGGTCAAATATGCAATGTAGTTATTTTGCACGTGTCTCAATTCACTTATTTTGATTATCTTATTTCCAGAGTGGAAGCCTGGATGAAGTCATGCTGAACGCTCTACAGTTAGATCGTGTTGATTTTGTAAAGCTTTTTCTAGATAATGGTGTCAGTATGAGAGATTTTTTGACTGTTCCAAGGCTGAGAAAACTTTACAATTCGGTAAGGTAATCTATGTAGCGTACATTTGTATAATTTGATAACTGGACTGTACCGTAGGTGACGCGCGCATGCTCTGGTCGGATTGTTCTCTTCTTGGTTAAGAAGTTGTACTCTCATAGTCCTCTTCCTTTCCTAATGAAATATGATTAATTTGTTACCACTTTTTGCCAGAGGATGAAGCTAAAAAAACAATTTCTCGCCAAAATTTACTATGAGCTCGTCCGTTATATTGAAATGAGGGGAAATACACGATTCGCACAGGCTGAAGGAGTATGCTTTGGATACAAGGAATATATGAAGTTCATATATTTTCATTGTATATACGGAGTATATATAATGAGTATATACATTCATATATATACGGAGTATGCTTTGTTAACATATTACAAACTCTTTCGTAGGCTGAAGCTGGAAGCCATCTGTACTCTCTCCTAAGGAAAGTTGCCGATGTTTCTGTAAGTCTATCTTTAACTAAACTAGAGAAATATTATAAATAGATAGCTTCGGCGCAGATTTCTTCCATTGTTGTTGTTTCATACGGGAGTGTAAGAGCCTGAAGTGTGCATGCGTCATTTAATGCAATAGAGGGAAGGAACTTTGGTATTCGTACCTTAACTTAACGCGTGCGAAGTTTGGCTAGCAAGGAAAAGAATCGCCTAGCGTGACTCATAGAGTCAGTGACGCCTCAGTCCACTTCGTATGAGTCCCCAGACGATTTGCGTCGCGTTCTCGATGCCGCAGACACGTGGTGTTGTGCACCGGAGTTCGCCAGTATAAGCGCAGTGTTAAACTTTAGACAAGTAACAGCATCAAACTCTTTATTCACTTAAGCTGGCAGTCTTTGTACAGCACAGGCGGTAAAAACTATACAACGGATACATGAAGGTTCGATATAAGGAAAACCGGAAGATTACGAAACTAGAAATAATAAAAATGAGGAATAGTACAAGCGTAACTTACATCGGATCTTGACTCCCGGGTAGAGAACTCCTATACTCCGTTCTGCTCCGAAATGGTTTCGCTACAGTGACTCCTCGCAACTGAACTACTAGCTAATAGAAGGCGAATTTAGTTCTTACACTTTGACGTAGGGGAAATAGAAATGAACAGTGCTTTGTGTAGCTAGCTTCGAGCGGATATTCGCTAGTCACGGAATAGAAATCAAACAAAGCGCGCTAACAAATTTAATAGAAAGTCATTGAAAGTTTCTTAGTGTCTTTGTGCTAAAAACGGAAGAGTTACAAAAGTAAAAAAGATTATAGTTCGTATCCGTAAAAGTGACAATTTGCATTTGCCAAAACCTAGGACTTACTTTACTGGCCTTTGACTGATTACGAAAATTTAGGGACACGTTTACTTTTTCTGTGTAACGCTTTACCTAAACGTGTTTTTGTATCCGCTTCCTCGTTCAAGGAAGGGCCGTACTCCCTTAAGGACATCGGTGTTCTTATCGAAGAACTAGTTGGTGCTTATTATGAGCCAATGTACCTGGTTGACACACCCCATACTAACGTCCTGGCTGCTAGGGTTGCTGGCCTGTTTGGAGTAGCACCTCACAGAGGGGATAAATCTGATGGAGAGAATGGTACTGTGTGCCCACCGGTGAAATTTCAGACTTCAGAGAATAAGTTGGAAGTGCAAGGGGCGTACAATGCCACGCGATTTGAGAAGCCTTTCAGAGAACTCTTCTTATGGGCAGTGTTAATGAACCGATATGAACTGGCACGATTCATGTGGGAGAAGGGAGAAGAGGCTGTGTCTGACGCATTGGCAGCGAGTAGATTGTTTCAAGCCATGCACGATCAAGTTGAAGATGATTATTTCGAGATCAAGAGGGCGTTGAAGCAACACGCAATGTAGGTACAATGAAAGGTCCGTAGAGATCCTTGTAGTAGTAATATGGAGCTAAATAAAACGCTAGGCCACATGGGTATTTTTGTTTGAGATATGAAGTGGTGAATCTAGGAGAGAGATGCTCGGACTAGGGGGGCGTGCTCCTCCTTTTTAGACGACGTTCTAGGCCCCTAGGGCTAGGGAACTTAAACACTTAGTTGGCAAATGTTATCCTGCAAATTTTATGTGTAACCCCGTCTCCTTTTGTATGTTTTGCTAGGTGTACGTTAAAACCTTACAGCTCAATTAAGCGTACTTAAATATTTCGCTCAAATTTGTGACCACAGTTCTTACATTTTAACTCTGTTTTACCCACTACTGAATTCAATTAGGCTGTGACGTTTAAGGAATGTTTTCTTTGTTATTTAGACTGAGTACTCGACGTGTACCATTACCGAACCATTCTCAACCAAATCGTGACCCAACATTGTTCAAAACCAAAGCGTTAAAACCTAATAGGAAGTTATACGTAGATTGCAATCGCTTGATATTGAATTATTCCCCCCCTCCATTTTTTAATAGCGGTCCATTAATAGGTGATGTTTTTATATATTTTTTTCAGAGAATTCGAAACGTTAGCCCTTGGTGTTCTTGATGCGTGTTACAACGAAGACGAGGTGTTGGCAGAGATGTTGGTTGAGAGGGAGATGCCCAAGTGGGGTGGCATGAACCCCCTTAACTTGGCAGCTGCAGCAAGAGCGGAGCAGTTCCTTGCACATCCATGCTGCCAGTCAAGTTTGAATAGCATTTGGAAGTCACGTGGTATGCCTGGAGTTCATTACTGGAAGGTATTCAGCTCGTTTCCTGTATGGGATCATTTTTTTTTTTTATGCGTGTCTGGGATGCAGAAGTTTTTTTCCGAGCCTTGTCAATTCAAGTAGGTAATTGTAACGGTGAAGAGTGACGTTAGTTGTTGTAACGGATGATTGGTGAAAAAGTGGCGCAAATTGTAAACCAAAGCGCAGAGCATTCTGAAGCCGCGAATACAATTCTAGTGTTGCGTTTACACTTACAGCCTTCAGCTGTTTTGATCGTTGATTTTAGCTAACAAACTACTGGCCAATTGAATTTAGAATGGTTTGTTTCAGCGTTTATAAGATGGGAGGACTTAACAACTGAATTTGTAAATGAAACAAAACCTTCTTTGGTAGAACCAGTTTTAAGTCTCTGTGATTTGCTAAAAACAACTTCCACCACCAACTTGACAAATCGTGCGTAAAAAATTATCATGCGGCTTAGTCAAGTGCATTTGCTGCGTGTTTCACAAATGATATGAAGTTAGTCTGATTCCCCGTTGGCTGAAAATTTTTTGTTTTTTATGTGGTTTAATCAGCTTGGGTGTTAATTTTAGGACGCTTCCTCGTAAGCACTCCGTCCAAGGTCCGCGGAAACTTATCCAAACCTTTCCCATCTCTTTTCAAGGTAATCGTTGCTGTTATCTGCCCGCTAATGATTCTTAAAATTTTGTTCTACGACGAGGAAAATCACAGCTGGTCGGTGCCTCTGTGGAAAAAAGTCCTTATCTTCTATAATGCTCCGATATCAAAGTTCTGGTCTCATCTGGTAAGAAAATAAATTTTATTATCCATTTCTTAATTTACCTCACTCATGGTTAAAGACTCGAACATTAAACAACACTGGTTTAAGGCTTAGCCCTTTTTGTTGGTAGTGTTTGTCCGTTTTTGTTTGTTGCATTGCATGTAGTGAGTACGAGTCAAATCAAGTGTTAGGTATGCATAATAGGCTTCTTGGCTGGTGTGCTAATCTAAATTAACAAGGAAGAACCACATAGACAAGCGGTAAAACTTCATGAGTTTTAATGCACAACATGGGTCGAAACTATGTCCACTTTTATTACTAATACCCTTTTCAGAGAGGGCCGGCAGTTAAAATTTTTTGGCATTGTTTGCACTTGTCTGTCATTTTTTTTTCAGTGCTTCCTTTGGTTAATGAACCAAGAACAGTTTTAAAATTAATTCTTCGCCTTATTTTCTTTTCCAGGGAATGCACTTGTGCTTTTTAGGATTGTATGCTTTTGTGATTTTATTTTCATTTCATAAGCCTTGGCCTTCCATTTATGAAATTGTGCTTTTGTGTTGGATTGGTGTCATAATTATGGATGAAATCAGCCAAGTGAGTAAACAGAGAACTAAAGAAGAGAGATTTTGAACTTGTTAACAACATTTAGAGTAGTTTGAGTTGCCCCGCGAAAATCTAGCTGTACCCTGTTACAGTCCAGAAAGAGTAGAGTCTTGTGTGGGAACGAATTACCTTGTTCAAGAACACAGCGTGATTAATGTCCCCTTCCCTCCCCTCTCCTCCCCCCATCCCCCTCCCCCCAGGGGATTTGAACTTTCTAATGTCATCTAGAAATACCAGTGGAGTCAACCTTTGGGCCGTGGAGTTTCTGTGATTCTCATAGAAAGTAACAATGTTACCCCGAAAGAAACTCCCCGTTGAGACTTGCTATTCCTTTGTTCATGGTTAGGAAAATGTAATGGTATGTTTAGAACCTTTGATGGAATGTCCTATTTTCTCATTTCCTTTTCCCAGTTTTTTACCTATTATTCACTTTTAGAGTTACCTAAAGACCTCTTAATCATTCATATCCACAGGTCATGAATCAAGAGACATCCACTTTTAAAAGCAAGTTGGAACTATATTTTAACACCCACGTAAACATTGTGGACACGTTTGCTAACGCAATCGCCCTCATTGGTTTTATCTTGCGGTTTTTTGATGTCACATGGGAAGCAGCTCGCGTCTTGTATTGCATGAATTTCGTCATATTCTCCTTCCGACTTTTCAGAGCGTATTTCGTCAGTGGTTACTTGGGGCCAAAGATTATTATGATTAAAAGGATGGTAAGTAATTTTCCAGCGTGTCCTGTGAGACAAAACAGAACTTGAACAAACACACGAGCAAGTACTACTAGAGGACAAATTCTTCAGCCCCCACCCCATAGCCATTTAATTTGTTCATTTCTGATTGACGGTTCCATTTCAATATGTGTGCTGTTATAGTCAAGTCATAAATCCCAAACTGAAGTGGAAGTGAAAATGGGCGGAAATCACATTGTTGACGCGCGGTTTTATCACTTCGGCTGCTCGAAGGTGAATAGTACTTGCTAATAACTTCCTACCCAACTAATCAACGTGCGCGAAAAGCACTATTCACCTTTGTGGTATATACTAATGATCAATATCATTTAGTGTTGTATTGGTCTGGTATTATTGTGTATTCCTATCACCTAGTGTTTGCTGGGTATTGTGTTAGTTTAAACTTTTAGTCATGTAGAAGGTTTAAGTTCAGCGTCGAAAGACCTAAACCAAAGCAAGGCTGTGCTCTAAGAAAAATTGAAAGGAGCCCATTGCTCTGAAACTGTGAAATCCAGAGTGCCCAGCAAATGCTTTTTATGAAAAAACCAAGATCCCTGAGTTGTCCAAGAGCAAAAGTAAGGCGCCAGGGTTCACCGGGCGCTGCAAGACCACAGCCCTGCAAATAATCAAAGCGGTCAATCTGAACTAAGATTAAGATAAAAACAGATAAATTGCTCGGAGTGCGGGAAAACGTGGGTGATAAAGCCGCGTTTGGTTTTAGTTTAGCATTTAATTAGCTGATAGGTGCAAGTTTTGTAGCCAATTCAGTAGAGAGGATATTAAAGCAAAACCAAAGCAGTCCTTTCGACTCTTATTTGGAAATTGCATTGAAAGATAGCTTAAGATTACAATGAATTTCTCTTTATAGCTTGCGGACGTTATGATGTGGCTTTGTCTGTTGCTGGTGTTCGTGTGTAGTTATGGTGTGTTCAGGCAGGCGTTGTTCTTCGCTAACAAAGAGCCGTACTGGGGTGTGATTAATGACCTGTTCTACAAGCCATACTGGCACGTATACGGAGAATTGTTCGTTGATCAGGAAGGTGAGCAATTAAGATTTTTTATGTAAGTTTTTTCAGCTTAATATGTAGAGAAAAGTTTCAACTGATAGTTGTAAACTGATCCAAAACAAAATATATACAGCAGCTTGGAACATGGGTTCAGAAGCGAAGTCGATCCCCTCGCGTATCTTAGTGTGTTTGTACTGAATTTCTGATGCCATGATTACTTGTTAGAAACCCTGCAAATAATTTGAACCTTATTACCTCATTTGTGACACGCTTATTCTGTTTTTCAGCTGAGGAAGGGAAGCTTGCCACAGGCGAAATTCCTTTGCACGATGGAGAACATCTAAAGTGGATTCATCGGATATGCATGGGGGGATATTTACTCATCACCAACGTGCTTCTTATCAATCTTCTTATTGCTATCTTCAGGTATTATGTCTTATATTTTCAAATACCATCTGTTAACTGGCCATACTGAAAGTGTTGGGAAGCTCAATTTATAGCGTGTTTCCATTTTTCTGTTTCTGATTGTGTCTGCAAATCTGTTCACAAACATTTCTTTCTCGATGCTGCTTCTCTGAATGGTTGGTAGTCTCTTTCTGTCGTATTTTTTCCTTACAGACCGCAGTATTTTGTATTGAACATCCAAGTTATCACGTGGTTAGTTTTGCCAGTGGGCCAGATGAAGTGAATCCTGTGTTCTAACTGGCTAACCTGCTTATGATTATCCGATGCGATTCCGACAAAAAGGAAAAAGTTCTTGTATCCGATTTGCACACTTCATAACTTCTAGGCAACATTTTTCGTCAAATAGAGTTTTTTGTGGGAAGTTTTGGCGACAACAGAGTCACAAACACGTCATTAGGCAGTGAAAACAAGGAAAACGAAGAGAGTTTTTCAGAATTATTTCAGTAATTCTTTCCTTTATTTACCAGCTTTGTCGGTCAAAATGTTGGCATTCTTCTTTTTTGGCGTTTTCATTATTCCAGACTTCTTCTAGGTGTGTAAAACCGAAAAGAACTTTTCTTAGCAGACTCGAACATCAAGTCATTTTTATTGTCAAACCTTTATCAAAAACCCCCAAATTAAGGAGCTTTCCACTTGTAAACTCGTAGTTACGTAGGTAATGATTTTCATGTAACTTATTGTTTACTTCTATATTATCAACTGAGTTTATACTGTAAATTGGCCGCCGTAAGCCCTCTGCCAAAGGGCTAACGCTCGAAACATCAGCTTTAGAAACTCTTTACGGTAGTCATTTCACAAAATTATCTTGTATTACCCCCGCCGACGCCACACCACAGTTTCTCTATTTTTCTTATTAACTATGTTAGGTGTGTTTTTTCTTGGAACTAAGTTTACTAAAATGGCTTATTCGTTATATTTCAGTAACGTGTTTAACGAGGTTGAGCTTAATTCGTACCAGATATGGAAGTACCAATACTACTATCTTGTGATGGAGTACAACAAACAACCCCCTCTGGCCCCACCTTTCGCTATTATCTTCCATCTTGTCGAGTTTGTGCGGTGGCTTGTGAAGAAGTGTAAAAAGCGTAATAAAGTTTCTCGTGAGTTGTTTCTGAGTTGACATATCTTTATGTTTTTGAAGGGTTGTGTAGTTTTGGTTTTCCTTCGTAAATGTTATCTCGGCAATATTTATGTCATGTTTTAATCTTTCGACGTTGTGTTTTTGTCTCTTACTCACGGATATAGATAAGACTACTCCACCCTAATGCAGTCACTGAGTTCAATTTCTTACATGGAGGCGTGTGTCAACTGAATTGTTGTAGGCGAACCTGTTTAGTTAAAGCAGGTCATGTTATGCACGCTCACAGGAATGATGATTTTTCTTGTAGCTAAGTTTACTGCAGAGGATCTTGAACTGCTAAGACTCTTTGAAATAGAAAGTGCAGCTAACTATAGACAGCGCGTTGAGGAGGAAAAGAGAACTGGTACCGAAGAGAGGATTAGGTACACTAGTGAAAGGTGAAGTGAATTTTTATTATAACATAACCAAAGTAAAGCGCGCGCTCTGATTGGTCAATTTAGCGTCCCCCATTTGCCCATGGGTGTACGCTGCTGACGTGAGCAAATGCAAAGACTATTTTTCCGCTCGCGCTTGTTTTTTTCTGGTCACGTAAGATTTGTTAAATAAAAGGGAACTCTTTAGCTACAATGTATCAATGTTATGTTATAAAACAAATGGTAAACACCACAGCGTACACTATTGAGTTATGGATGTACTTGGGAGGTTTGCTAAGCACTCAAGAAGCTAGAGTCGCTCTCGGCTGTCGCTTCGAGCGACTCTTACGCTTCTTTCGTATAACGCATACATTTATTTATTTTTAATGACACTTTCTCTCCCAGGATGGAGCATTTGGTGAAGAAAGTCACGGAATTACAAGAAACTCTCCAACTTCATCTCACAAATACCGATGTAAATTTGCGACAGAACAATGTTAATACCAGTTAACAGCAGTCAGTGAGCGAGGTTTGGTAGGTGTTTATGTAGCGTAGATATCAGTAACCAAAAAGTAGGATATTGAGTTAAGTATGTTCTTTCCGTCGTGTCGCTTCAAAGTCGTTTCGCATCAAATGGAACTCGTTTCGTCGCAAATCCAACTAGTTTCGCTCCAAATCGAAAGTCGTTTTGCTACAGATCCAAACCGATTTATGGAGAGATAGACTCATAAATAACGTAGAGGCATAGCCAATAACGTAGTCAATTAGAATACAGCCGATTTGTGATAGAAAGTCATTAGATTTAAATGATTTAATTATATTTAAAACATCAAACGTAAATTTGATGAATATAAACAGTACGTTGAAAATGAGCAATGGTATATATGACATAGGAAAAATTAAAACAATTGGTGAATCCGAGCTAGTTTAGACAATTGCTAACACTTCAGAAGGGTCACCATATGTCTTGGTGTGTCAGTAAGGTGTAAGTTTCTGAGGGTTTTAATAGATATTTACATGGTTATACCATTTTCATCTTAAGAGTTTCCTATCTTTTGTAGATATGTCACTTTACAAACAAAATAAATATATTATACAGCTACACATTTTCCACGCTACTTACCTTCTACAGTATTTAAAGACATTTAAAAACCATTCTTATCTTCATAACAATTTATTCGAACTGTTCAGTCATACTTGCAAACACTCTGTAGACACAAGTTTTATTTTTTTTGATAAATAAAAAATTGAGTGATATTTGATTTTATCAGATGACTTTATTTATATCTATTCTTTAAATCAGAAGCTTCTCTTTATATCAAATTCACAAATTTTCAATTTGGACTGTGGAAAGTGAAAACCTTTAATACAAAGTATCCAACGTTTCTTCAATTCATCGGTTGAATTGTGAAGACAATTACTTGGTACTCCAGATGTGATACGGTAACTTCACTGTTTTTGGGTTATTTCGAGAGACTTTAGGTCAGGTTTGCATGGTTCAACATCGATAAGTTTTCAAAGATTGAGGCCCAACATTTCAGAGCTCCCGTTTTAATTAGACGCTAGTCCTATTATGCACTTTTACTCACCTCTCCACCCTCCAGTAATTAATCATATTTCCAAGAGTCATGCTGCTGTTGACAAAGTTGTTCGTCTACATTTTTTATTTCGCTTTTTTAACCTAAGTTTTTCCTGCGATGTGGTTATCGAAATATCCCGGCCAGTAGGGTCTTGACCACAGCTTCAATTTCGAAGTGTGGACAAAAATAACTATTTAACAATTATTCCACGAGCGCACGTTGGATATGAGATGATAGATAGCCAACGAGGCGCGTAGCGCCGAGTTGGCTATAATCATCTCATATCCAACAAGCGCGAGTTGAATAATTGTTTTATTAAAAACGCCCCCAAGAAATTATTATTTTGTAAGAAGAAACCGGATTTTTTAGCTCCCTTTTGATTTTAAGCTGACGCGTACGCTTACCATATTTGTAGATTATGGTATATTGGCTCATATACCATAATGGCTAAGCCAATAAAAAGTCTTGAATTGCATTATCCAATGATCCAGTTTTTAATCATGAAAATTATAACATAACGAAAGTAAAGCGGGCGCGCTGATTGGTCAATTCAGCGTCCACCATTTGCTCAGGGCCCGGTACGTTGCTGACGTGAGAAAATGCAAAGACTAGTAGTTTTCCGCGCGCGCTATTTTATCTGGTCACGTAAGATTTGTTAAATTAAAGAAAACTCTTGCTACAATGTTATGTTATTTAAAACAAATGGTAAACGCCACAGTGTACACTACTGACTTATGGATGCATTTGG